AAAAAAAAAAAAAAAAGGAGCTTCCAGGACTGGCCAAATGGCTCAGCAGGTAAAAGAATTTGTCACACAAAGCTGACAACCAGTTTCAGGAGAGAACTGACTCCCAGAAGTTGTCCACTGACCTCCACATGCATGCCATGGCATATGCAGAACTGCATTCACCTGCATATTTCTCTCTCTCTCTCTCTCTCTCTCTCTCTCTCTCTCTCTCTCTCTTACACACACACACACACACACACACACACACACACACAGAGAGAGAGAGAGAGAGAGAGAGAGAGAGAGAGAGAGAGAGAGAGACCAGTAAATAAGAAATAAATAAAAATAAATTATGCAAAAAAAATGTAAGCTTCTAAACAAAAGAATGAGCAAAAGATATGAAGAGGCATTTGACTAGAGGAAATATAAGTGACATAAGATTGGGGGCTGGAGAGATGGCTCAGCAGTTAAGAGCACTGGTTGCTCTTCCAGAGGTCCTGGGTTCAATTCCCAGCAACCACATGGTGGCTCAAAACCATTTGTTTTTTTTTTGTGGCTGGCTGGCAGGCATACATGCAAACAGAACACCATACATATAATAAATAAATAAATCTTTAAAAAAAAATAAGATCTTCAACCTATCTAATAATGAAGAAATGCAAATTAAACCAAGGAACTACTCTTACATTGGCAATAGGCAGAGCACCTGAAGTACAGGGGCTCTGGGAGCAGAAGGGATTCATTACTAAAACCATGTTAGAAGGTCGCTCAGCTGAATGGAATGAAATTTAACACACATAAAACCTCTGACCTTGCCTTGGCACCTTTCCAGTAGGGAATAATTCCACTTGAGTCATAATATATTTTTATTTAAATTTTGACTTCATTGAAAATAGCTGTTCTCTATATCAAGACTACTAATTAATAATATAGATAGAAGAAAAAGATTGGCAGCCATTTGAACCAAGCAGGCTTACTCAGCTAAAGTTTGAGCTGTTACATGGAAAAGGAGTACACTGAGGTAGTAGACTTAACCCAGGAGAGCACAGAGTCTAGCTGCTGGGGTGTGATCTCCTGCAAGGGAATTCCACGAGGCCAGGGCTGACTACAGCGCTTCTTCCCCCGTTACTCCCAGAATAAGCTGGTATGTCTAGACCTCTGTCATTCACTGGAGTGCATCTGGAGTCAGGGGAAGTCTTGTTCTTTAGTGTCCTCCACACCCGTGACCCATGGCACATTGTATAGCAAAGGTGTTCCAGGGGATTGTTCATATACATGGGTTTACATCAGGGCTAAAATCATTGTCACATCTTCATGAAAACTTCACGATCTTAGTCACACCAAGCATCAGACCCATGATCCAGGTTCTCTAGGGTGGGTTTGTTTGGTTGGCTGGTCGGTTGGTTTGGTTTGGGCTTCCTGGTGGGCGGTACCCAGCATTCCCTCTGGCATTCACCCATCTCTTTGCCTCTGTTTAGATGGCCATGCTGCTGAAGCTTCAAGAAGCTGCCAACTATATTGAGTCACCAGATCGAGAGACTATCCTGGACCCCAACCTCCAGGCAACACTCTGAGGGTCCAGCAGTCACTGTCACCCTGGACAGTGGAAGGCTGGCTTCGGCTTCATTAGCTCTCCTCTCCCCTCTTCTTTCAGAGCTCTGGCTTACCAGCCTCACCAGGACAGGAGGGAAGAAGAGGGCTGGAGGAGGGATGGGTTCTTGGTGCTGAACCTTTGAAAACTTCCTGGTAGGGACTGGAGGGGTGGAGATTGGGAACTCGTACCCCCTAAATACATTTGCTGGCCTCCTCTCGTGACTTTGGAGAAAAGATGATTCTGGGTCTTTTCTTCAATTTTTGTTTCACCTACAAAACTCCTGGGCTTCTGTGGGGAGGGATTCGGAGGACATCACAAAAAAACTGTGCAGCAGTTCCTAGCCGGTTCTCGTGAACACCTCTGAGACAGTCACCATCTGGGGAAATCTAAGGGAGGCAGGAAACTCCACAGATTTTCTTGCAAACCTTTCCCAATTCTATCACCACTGCCAACAATCTTCCCCCAGAGATCTGGCCAGAGCCCAGAAAAAAAAAGCATGTTGTTAAACAGAAAAAAAAAAAAAAGAAAATAAGAAAAAAAAAATGTGTGAGTCAACCTGTAAGCGGTCAAAAGGCAACAGAAAAGATGACACTGGAAAGAGGGGACCCAGTTGCCAAGAAGGAAAGAGAGCTGCCAGATCTCACCCTCTGGATGACAATAGGGGACACTGACAAGATGGCTTCCAATCTAAGATGCCACCCAACCACAAAAGGAACATCACAGCCTTCAGAGAGACTGAGCTACCTTTCTGCCCTCGAATTGAACATGCATGAAAGTCAATAAACCCTACTTTTTTAATTTTTAATTTTTAAATTCCATTTCTTTCTTTTTTTTTTTTTCCTTCCGTTTGCCTATTTATTGCCCCCTTCCCCAGTTTTCTCACATGTCAATGAGATACTTGAGTTTCCTTCCAGGAGATAGTTTTGCTTTCCAAGTGGGTTTTCTTTGGAGAATTGAATTCCAGGCTGCTGGTATAAGTTAGACACCTGCCATGCCGCTATCTCTGGCATCCTTGGGGCTTACAGGCAACAAGAAACATTGGCTCAGAACGGCAGGAGAAAAAGTAGCCCGTTTCTTTGACTTCCCTTCCGAGAAAGCAGGCGTTCGAGCTGGAAGCTCACCTGCCATCCTCTGGCTTGACATCGCGGACTGGAGGAAAACCAAAACACTGGAAACACCCACCTGTCTTAGGGCCTGTCTGGCCCCTCACTGCACTATTAAGATGGTAGCCACTTTGCCTGACTGAATCAAAATTCCCTAGCTAGTCCTCAGCTAGTTCTTGACAGGTGAATAGTCACTTATAAGAAACTGAGCAACCATGTGAACTGCTTCAGATCAGAATAGAAGGCTCAAGGAGTTGGACTCAGTGGCCAATATTTGCCTTCCAAAGAGATCCACCTCTTTCTTGCAGAAGTTGCACTCTTTGTATTTCTACAGCCCACGTTCCTTCATTTGACAAGCACGTATGAGTACTTAACTGTATACCAGTCACTATGCTTAAAAAAAGACAAGACTTGGTCCTTAAGTTCATAGTCTAGAGGGGAATGTTAAGTACAACCTCCCCTTATCTGGACCTTGAAAATCATCTGAGAAACAGAGGTGAACCCCAAGGAGTTACTTAAAAGAAGCCCTTAATTAGATGTCCAGTTTGTTGTGGGCAGAAGATCGGGAATCAGTTAAGATGGAGCCTGAAGAACTATGGAAGCTTGCTTGTCTAGAGTGGGAAATCTACATCTATCGTTTCTGGAAACCGGATGGAACCAGATTCCAGGCTGAGCTGCCTTATGGGCTAATATGTCAGCACTCTGCAGTTCAGGGATATATATACGATGAGCCTGGACCTAAGAGTTTGCTCTTCAGAGTCCTAAGTAGCACAAGACTTACCAGAATCTATACCAAGATTCTACAGGCAAACTAAAATGGGCCATTGTTCCACCCAACCGAGAAGTCACATGACTCTCAACAGTATATTTCCATTTAGGTCCTCAAGATGGTCTAGCTTGTCCCCTTTCCCCTCCCTCCCCCGCAAAAGCTTCTATATTCACCTGGTAGCCCCAGGGATGACAGGGTCCTCTATTCTGGAGACTATTATTGCCATTGCTGCTAATTCCATGAGCTGTGAAGACCCCCAACCAACTCAGCTGCAAAATATGCAATTCTGTAGTGGGAAGAGGCTGCCTGTCCAAGGATGGTGCTGCAATCACTGCCTTAAGGTCTCTGCTGTGCAGAAGGAGAAGGCCCCAGAGCTGGGTGTTCCAACTTAGAAGGAAGGGGAGACTGGATAGGCCTACTTTGGACATAGGTCTCTTCTGAACCCTATCCAGAGCTCCAGTGCCATGGCAAGGCTCAGACTTTGGCTGACATCCTAATGCTCGAGCCCTTCACTCTGTCTTCTGGTGCTGCCCAGCCAGTGCCTTCTGAAATGGATGTTACTGGCTACTTAAGAAGAAGAAAAATCGGCGATGCCTTCTTCCATTCCAACTGCCTCAGACTGCAGAGGGATTGTCTCTGTGGTAACCATGGATACCATCGTGAATTTTCTTCGGGTCTGCAGCAAGTTGACTCTGGAGGCCTCTCCTACTATAACTTTCTTTCTATTTCTGGGATCCACCACCACCACCACCACCTTCTCTCAGTTGACTGCTGCATTTAGTTCAGGCCTCAAATAGCCGTCCCCCAGGAAGACTGTTCCCATCCAGTGAAGTGCTCTTGAAGCCTCTGCTTTCCTTCTGGAGCCCGGGACCCTGTTTACAGTTGCACATCTGGGCCCCTCACAGTCAGCTCAACCATCTCAAAAAGGGATCACGGTTCTGTGGCAATTGCGGAAGGCTGAGCCTCCTCACGGTGCTAATAACCCCTTAGGATGCTCATCCAGACTTCTAAGAAGCAAAAAGCCTGAGCACCCCCTCACTGCCCAAGAATTCATGGCAAAGAGCAAGTCCACAGCATTCTTTCCAACCTACACACTTGCTTCTTGGTTGAGACTACTGGGACTCCTCAGAAAGGAAAAACTGGGTCCCACAGCTAAATTCTCAATCTCCAGGCACCTTCAGAAGACTCCAACCTATCCAGTTCTGGAATCTGTGCTATTCCCTTCCCCTCTCAGTCCCAATCCCATCCCTCACCAAAGTTGGCTAGTGAAGAACATCAACCTTTGGAGAGCCTCAGCTCTAGGAGAGGCTAAATAGAATCCCTCAGATTCTGGGATGAAGACCAATAAGTTGTATTCGATGTGTTCGTTTCTCAGTCCCTGCCTAGGCACTAGAATAAAACACTAGGTATTGGAGGCTGCTATGGGACCTGATGTCTGTGTATCTCTCTGTTCTATCTTGGGCTTTGTGGAACATTATTATTTTTGATATCTGCTTTCTGGTAACTCTTTGGTGCTTATTTCTGTCTCTGTAAATCCTTACTCCAATGTCTTTTGTGTAGTCTAATCACTTGGAAGGTAGAGGCTGGCAGGAAAGGAGAATGAGGTAGAAAAAAAAAAAAAAAAAACAACCATAGAGAGACCCTACAAGAAAGCCTTTATCGGTTGGTAAATGTTTGGGTCTTGAATTACCATTCTTCTAACTAGTCTGTCCATACTGACAGGCATAAGACAAAATAATGATTTTCTTTCTCCCCCTTTTCTGGCTTTTCTAGTTTGCAAGAGTTTAAGTGGACTTAACCTACCCATCTCCTTACTTGTAGCTCTCAAAGATGAGCCACATTATTCAAAGGGATACCGCCCCCTTCGCGTACTCTGAAGATGAACTCTGTTTCCTGTCGTATTCCAGAAAAGTAGGGAAAGAAGTGGTAGGTTTTCACAACGCCTCCTATCATCACCCCAGATGGAACCCATTCACAGCACCCAGCATGTGCACGGATCACACTTGCCTGATCAAATGAGATTCAGTCTTATAAACTAGGATCCAAAAGACATTAATGACTTTTTTTAATGATAAAAGGGTTTGGGAAGTTGTGCTAATCACAAATCTAATACAGGGTTCCAGTGCTGAAGTAACTCAGATTGTCAACTACAGCTCCTTATCATACTTTACCCTTTCTTTCCATAGTCCTGGGCATTAGCTAAATTGAAGCTAGTGAATGGACTCCATGAGCCAACCCCCATGGTAAGAAGAAAAATGTCAGTTACAGCAGGTAATAGAGATGGATAAGATGGATATACCAACAGTTATTGGTACACTTTTTTTTCTTCCAGTATTGGGTATCGAACCTAAGGTTTCTCATATCCTCAGCAAGTACTCCATCACTGACCTATAGCTCCAGCCCTCATTATTTTTTTAAAGACAGTTTCACTAAGTTGCCCATAATCCGGGCAAGCTTTGAATTTGATCATACACACACACACACACACACACACACACACACACACACACACACACACACATTAGCCTCTCAAGTAACTGGGATTTCAGCCTGCATCACTAAGCCCAGCTATAATACACTCTGTAGGAACCATGCATGAGAATACCCAACAAGGAGGCTGTAAATAATAAAAATGTGTTCCAAATGGCCAAAGCCTGAAGACACTGCTCTTCATAACTGAATCAGCCTTACCTAGTCACCAACCCTCAGTTAACCTGCTCAGGGATAAGAGGGCCACCTGGTATACACCCGAGCTCTGGAAGCACATGCTGTTATAGAGAAGATACAATAAACTGGACACCGCAGAGTCTGGAAGGAAAGAAAGCAGGTGAATTTTGGAAACCACAGGAAAAAAAAAGACAGTTAAGAACTACACTTATTTATACCAGTTCATTCCAGTCTGATGTTTTGGCTATTTTCCTTAATGATTATGTCCCAGGGAACATTCTCTGACATATGATATGAATCCCTGGATCCTTGATTCAACCTTTCGTTCCTTAAAGCGGTATCACTCGGAGGATGCCTACAGACCAGGAACAGCAGCATGTGGGAATGTGTTTAGGAATAAAATTCCCAGGCTCTCACCCAGACTTACCAAGTCGGCTCTGCAGTGGCAGTGCCCAGCCATGTTTTAACAGTTCCTCTGGTGGAGCCAATGCACGAGAGCCCTCACTCTGAGGTGGCTGATGTTTAAAGACCCCAAATAAAAAGCGTCTACAGTCTAATGCAGATGTTAACATTTCAAAGTCACTTTTCTCATCCTTTGGTTTCTGGGAGTCGGCGGTGAAAACATGTGCTTTGGGGTGGAAAGCTAGGGAAGGTCTGCATCTTGGCAACCTCTAGTGGGAAACCCCTTGCCTCTGACGTTTCTACCTGGCACACTGTGGGACTCCAGTGGAGGAATCATGTTGGAGGTCTCATTCAGATGGCTGTTCTGATGGATTCTTTTTCTGATAGTAGTATAAGAAAAGTAAAATAAAAATCCAATTTGCATTTCTGTGATAAAATGTTCTCCCAGCAACATCCCTCTCCCTTCTTTAAATAGTAAAGAGTACTGTGAGTCAGAGAGCCTGGCCAGGGCCCCCCACCCCCCTTTCCCCAAGGCAGCCAACAGCTGTAGTAGTGCTCCAGTATGCTAGAAAGGCCCATGTCTCTACTCAGCCCACAGGAGAGTTCTACACAGTAAAAATAAAGTTAAGTCCTTAGGTTTAACCTTTGCCTTTTCCCACATCAGGACCTAAATACAGAACTACTCAGCAAAGGGAACAAAATAAATCTGCTCTTAATTTAAAAAAAAAAAAATTTCCAGAAAGAGCTTCATATATTTCCAAATCCATAAACTAGCTGATATGGCCATGGAAGAGTTGAGGCTGTTTAGAAGCGGTTTTGTTTTAAATTTGTCAGTCCCCCAACCCCACCCCCATGAGAGCACTTTTGTGTAGAGCATTAAAAAATCACCGGTACCAGGTCTCCTGAGCTCAGGGACTGACTTGGAAGGGAGGAGGAAAGCCCAAGGAAACCAAGTGTAAACAATTGCACTAGTCACCCCTTACCATCCAGCCAGCCCCTGGCGGATCATCCTGCTTCCCTGCCCCTGCTCTGAGAAGGCGAATCCAAGGAGCAAACCCCCACACTGCAGCCCACCTCTGATCCTGCTGTGTTCCCTCCCCCAACTCCCTCCCCCCCCACTCCCTCCCCCGACTCCCTCCCCCCCACTCCCTCCTCCTACTCCCTCTCCCCCCCACTTCCTCATGTTCTTTTGTTTATTGCTTTTGACAAAACATAATTCGAGTGAATTCTAGGTTTTGCTAGCTTCCTTCCCTCCCCCTCCCTATCCTGTTTTCCACAGCACTGCTCATGGAAGAGTCTTTCTCAAATGCATGGCATTCCTCAGGTGGCGGGTGGGCAAGAACGTTCACTTTTTAAAACTTACTGAGTCCAAAATCCCAAACCAGGATGTGTGTGTGTGTGTGTGTGTGTGTGTGTGTGTGTGTGTGTGTGATTTTCTTCTCATTTGACCCTCACCTATTCCAGCCTGTCCCCTTTTATACCTAATGTAGAAAAGGCAAAAGTGAATCTGGAAAGCAAATTGATGTATATAGTTGCGGTAACAATCATGAAGAGAGGCTGGGCTGTCCCCTCAGTAATTCATTTTAAATAATAAATTGGTTGAAAGTTAAATCCATGCCTCGGCCAGCTGAAATGGCCTTCCTCCATCGCCACAGAGGCTACCCTCACTTGGGTCCTCTGTCTATCAGGCATGTCTCCATCCAGCAAAATTCATCTGTTCTCTGCCATTTGCATTTCAATAAAGTTATTTCCTGTACTGCCCACTGGTTTTCTAGCTCACTCTCTGCCTGGTTTCTGTGTCCATTTATCTTATTGCTTGATCTGGAATGTGAGACGACTTGTGGTCCTTTGCCTAACTCAGAAGCAAAAACCACCTGCCTGTAAAAGTCTGACCCCAAATGCTGGGCAGGGGTCTTTCTCCTTCTGTTTTGTGGGCAGGGGAGAACCCCAACTTGTACATTGAGGACACTGTCTCTCTCCTACTTTGCTTTCAGTTGCTAGAATAAACACCATGACCAAAATCAACCTGGGGAGCGAAGGGTTTATCCATTATCAAAGGAAGTCAAAGTAGGAACTCAAGGAAGAAGCTTGAAGCAGAAACCCCCTACAATGCTGCTTACTGGATTGCTCCCCTTGGTCTTGAATAGCCTCGGCCCACCTGCCTGGTGATTGCAATAACCACAGTGGGTTGGGTCCAACTGTGTCAATTAGCAATTAGGAAATGGTTCACAGGCTTGGTCACAGGCCAGTCTGATTCAGCTAATTCTTCAATTGAGGCTCTCCCTTTCCAAGTGACTCGAGCTTTGTGTCAAGCTAACAGCTGAAGCTAACTATGACAGTTTCCCTCACCAGAAGTCAAGGCTTCCGGTTTGCCAGGCAGGAAGTCTCCATCAACTGCTAAGTTTGAAAATGTACCATCCTCTAGACCAGAAGTTCTCAGCCTGTGGGCTGTGATGTCTACGGGGCCAAATGACCCTTCCCCGGGGGTTGCATATCAGAGATTTACATTACGATTTATAACAGCAGCAAAAGGACAGTTACGAAGTAGCAACACAAATCGTTTTATGGTTGGGGTCACCATACATGAGGAACTAATAAAGGATCGCAGCATTAGGAATGTTGAGAACCACTGTTCTAGACACTACCTAATTTTTCTTTGGGAAGCAAACGTGGACTTACCTAAAAGGACAGCTGTTCTAATGGAGTTGTGGTTCTCAGGCCACTGTTAAGACAGAACGGAAACCTATTCTCTGCTATGACATTGCAGAGTCACAAGACACTCACTTTCTCAGAAATACCCGCTCTGTGCTAGAATGGCATACCCCATTCCATCTCTTTTGCCACTAGGCGCTTGCCACTCTGTCCTGCATTTTTTTTTAACCCCTTGCTCTAATCCCCTCCACTTGCTCTATTGAAATGCTGTCGTTTCCTGTGATTAGTCCTTGTTAGCCATATGAAACTACTCTTGTTCCCCTACCCCCCCCCAGGCATAATCCCCGTGGGTCTCGGGGAGCAGGCTGGGCTAGCTAGATGGCTCAGGGGTAAAGTACTTGCCACAACACCTGATAACCTGAGTCTGCTCATACATAAGGGTGGCTGGTGACAGACCCCACATTAAATTGTCCTCTGACCTCTCCAGGTGTCCCACGGCATATGCCCGTGTATTCGAGCATGGCACACTCACACACAAGGAATCAGTCTGGAGCCACTGGGTGATGATGGCACATACTTGGAATAGCGCTGGGGCAAGGTAGAAGCAGTAAGACCGGGATCAGGGAGTTCAAGGCCAGCACCAGCTACATAGAAAGTTTGAGGCCAGTCTGGGCCACAAGTGACCCTGTCTCAAAACAAATTAACAACAAATGGATAAATAAGAATATTTAAAAAATAAATAAGCTGGGCGGTGGTGGCGCACGCCTTTAATCCCAGCACTCAGGAGGCAGAGCCAGGCAGATCTCTGTGAGTTCGAGGCCAGCCTGGGCTACCAAGTGAGTCCCAGGAAAGGCGCAAAGCTACACAGAGAAACCCTGTCTCGGAAAACCAAAATAAATAAATAAATAAATAAATAAATAAATAAATAAATAAATAAATAAATAAATAAATAAATAAATAAATCTGGAGAAATGCTCCTTCACATGTAGGTACTCTCCCCTGGACGGCCACTTCTTCATTTGAGATTGGGCTCATGGAAGCTGAAAAACTAGGGAACTGGACCTTTCTAAAGTGACTACTCCCCACTGCCAAATTCACTTCAGTTTCTCCCCATGCCTCCCAGGCACCTTTGGGTCTCTAAAGCTCTTTCCTTAAAGCCCTCGATAGCCATTTGCACCCTAATACCTCTTCCTAACATGTCTTGAATGCGAGCCTAGAAATCACGTATCACGGCCTTTATTCCGAGCGCACTTTCGAAGCAGCGCGTGTGACGTTCGGGGCTCCAAACCGTTATGGGATTCCTTGTGCACACACATCCAACAACAGCGTTCCTGGCCGCCAGAAGCGCGGTTCGGTTCCGGCGGCAGAAGGCGCTGTCTCCGGAGGCTGCACTCTCTCCCCGCCCCCCCTCCCCGGCCCCGCCCGCCCGCCCGCTCCCGCGTACTTAGATGCGCAGGCGCGGCTTCGCGGATTGGCCGTACGCGGGAGCCGTCATTCGGTGGCGGGTCCCGGCCGCGGGGCTGGCGGGCTGAGGGGAGGAAAGATGGCGGCCGCGGCGGCAGCTGGTGCGGCTTCGGGGCTGCCGGGTCCCGTGGCCCAGGGATTGAAGGAGGCGTTGGTGGATACCCTCACCGGGATCCTGTCCCCCGTGCAGGAGGTGCGGGCGGCTGCAGAGGAGCAGATTAAGGTGCTGGAGGTGACAGAGGGTGAGTGAGGCGGGACCGTCACGAGGATGGCTCGGACCAGGGCCGGCCGCCCACTCCGCTGACCGCAGGGACCTGGGGGCGCCTGGGCCAGGGGAGAGGTGGGCTCGAGGGGTGGATTGGGAGACGCGGGGGCGGGGGGGCTCCCAAAGTCCTAGAAGAAGAAGGAGGAGGAGGAGGAGGAGGGAGGCGCGTCTGAAAGGAGAGGGTCGGGGGAGGTGGAGCCTTGGCGGGGATGGGGTGGGTGAAGACTCGGAAAGCTCGCCCGACGGTGCCTGGGCGCTGCAGAGGACAGGAATGGGCTTCGGCGCGGGGCTGTCGGTGTCGCGCTGTCGGGATGCTCTCCCAGCCCAAGACGAGGTCCTTTGCAGTTCCCTTCTGCAGCGCGGTGCTAGTGGGATCGGGGGAGAGAGGGAGCTAGCTAGAGGAGTGTGAGCGGGAAGGCCCTCCTCGGGAACGCAAGTTTCTGTCTGCATCAGAGTTTCCAATCCGGCTCGGTGTGCAGACGCCTCACGCTTTCCTAGAAATTAACTCAATTAGATGCATACACTACTTCACTTTCCGGGCCAGGCTTCTCGGGGTTTTTTTTTTTTTTTTTTTGGCGTTTTTTTTGCTTTTTGTTTTTTAAAGACTCATTGGCAATTATTAAGGACGATGCGTTTCTGTGTACAGGAACCGATCTTCCTTTGTTTTAGATTCTTTGTTCTCATCCTCCCGTTATGTTCTTTAAAGTGATAGAGGAGAAACTGTTAGTTTGACGTTTTCTTTTAATTTCCTGCTTAGTGGGCTTTCATCAGGAC